GTATTTGACATTCAGGTTCTCCTGGGCTCCTCATAGCACACTGCAGAGGGGCAGACAGGGAGGGGATTCTGGTGCCCATCTTGCAGATGGGAAGTCCAAGAAGCTAGCTGTTCTGGAGCAGCATTCTGGGCTCCTCTCTACCTCCACCCCCAAGCCCCAAACCAGTGTACTGTTGACAAGAGGCAAGTCATTCCACTTAGGAAATGCTCTTCCTGCACTGGGTCAGGCCAGGCCAGGTGTGCAAGCAGTAGGCCATCGAGGAGACAAGACTGGCGAGACTGGGTCAGCCCTGCAGAAGATGCTGGGCCTGTGGGCGATATGATATGGAGACACATACCTGTAACCAGAGGGAAAGTAAAGGTGCAAAGCAAATCCCTAAGTGTTGTAATTTTCCTTCTGGGGTCATCAGGGAGTCTTCCTGGGAGAAAATGCACCTGCCAGGGTCCTGAACCCAGTCCCATGATCCCATCTCTCTCACCCACTAGCCAATAACAGGATGCCCTGGGCTTCCTCGGCCTGTTGAAGAAGGCCCTATACCAGGCTTCCTGCCTCCAACCCAGCCTTGGTTCCCACTCCCAGCTCAGCCCAGAATCTACATAGAAGGTCTAAGTGGCAGCCCTGTACTTTTTCCAATCCCATGACCTCCCTGAACAAGGCCCACGGAATTTGACCCTCAGGCTCACATAAGGACCTTACTGGAATTTTCTGGCTCTTCCCTCCCAAGCTCTTCTGGCGCCCCGCCCTGCCCAGGCCTGGGAGCTGGCCCCCGGAACGGAGAGATCGGAATGGACAGAAGCAAAGGACATCCCCAAAGGCCCCTGGGCTTCCTTCCTCTCCTGGAAGTTGGTGATCCACTTGTCCTTCAGTTACTGAAGTTATTTTCCAAAAGGAACCTTTGGGGATCATTGTTTATGAGGATTTGATGACTTGTAGGGTGATTTTCACTCGAGGAAATCTTCTTGACTCCTGACACTTGAGCTGTCTGAGCGCAGTGCAGATGGAATAGAGCAATACGTTGATCAAGAGTAGAACTGATTTCATTGACAGAGAAAATGAACCCTTGGCCTGTGCAGGGAAATGAGAAAAGACCAGGAGATGGGAACATCCTTCACAAACGTCCCAGGATAGCCCAGTCTCTGCCAGCAGCAGAGCGGTGACAGTCAGCCCGCCCCCCAGCTTCTCCTCCCTTCTGCCCTGAAAATGGACCACACAGAACCCTTCCTCCTCCTCCTGAACCTCTTTTTCCTTATCATGCCATCAGGAGGGTGTAAACCTCAGCTGTACCAGGTAGACCCCTCTCCTGGGTGTTAGACCCCCCACTTTGCCTGTTTCTGCTTCCTGTCTCTTATCTGAAGCCACTGGGCCCTCTGGCCTCTGGCCTCTACATGCCAGCTCTGCTCAACAGGCCTCAGGATCTTGTCTGCACCCATCGACGCTGATCTGCTCTCCCTTTAGCTCTGGGTTGGGAGCGTCCTGCAGGAAGGGCTGAGCAGTCAAGGCCAATGGCGGTGGGGGAGAATGGGAACCCAACTGTTTACCGCTGTTTTAAGAGCTGGCACCACATACCTGTCCCCGCCAGCTGCCTGCCCGCCCGGCTGTGCTCAAGGCCGAGGAGCAGCAAGGGGCCCCGGCGAGCAGGCGGACATCCCAGTGCAGAGGGTGGCAGCGCTGCGTTGGCAGGAGCTGCCTGCTGGGTAAACATTGTTCTGGGTTTTTTCTTTTTTTCTCTTCAAACAAGCCCTTCCCAGCACCCGGCCACATAACCCTAAACAATGCCTCTCTGTGCTGTTGACACAAAGGCACAAATGGTGTCATTCCAGCCCAGAGATAAAGCTCTGATCCTCCCATAATGGGGGGCATTTCCTCTTGGGAAGAACACCAGCAAATCAGGAAATTCAACAAGCCCAGTCTAAGCCCTGCCCTCAGGCGAGGCTCAGGTTTTTTGTTGTTTTGGGTGGATTTCTTTCTCCCCAAAGCTCTGCTTGTTCCATGTGCCTCCGTCAGCAGATATGTCAGCCCCAGACAATGGCCTCTTTCTGCAGACAATGGTCAGCGTGAGGAATGTCGCAGGAGGGCAGGACTTGAGGAGGGACAATCAGCTTTCAGAATCCAGTGGCCGAGTGGGTGCTGCAGGGAGGGCCCTGCTGTCACCAGGGCAGCCTCCTCAAAGACACCATTTATAGGACCTGCAGCCCCAGGAAAGTGGATGCTTTGGGCAGCAGGGAAAGTGGACGGTCTCTCACCCGCTCACCCGCCACGGCTGCCGGCAGACTCCCGTTACCTGCTTTATCAGCCTCTGGGGGCTCCAGCAGCCACAGCCCCTGCCTTGCAGACTTTGTTTAATGAAAAAACAAACAGTCACCCCCAAATTAGACCAAGGCCCGCTGTTCCTGCACTGGCCCTCCTGCAGTACCCAGCCTGGGCCTCCATTGGCCGGCTCTCCAGAAAAGAAAGGGCTTATTCATCCCCTAAGGTGGAAACTCGCTTTCTTGGGGGGAAATTGTGTAACCATTTTGTAGCGGAATCGACCACAGTCCTCAAGGTCTTTTGGAAAAAGAAAAGCAGATAAGGGGGTGGAAGCCGGAGCCAGTGCCGGCAATCTCGTTAGATCTGCTCACTGCAGAATGATTTTTCTGGCAGAGGCCACAGGCCCAAACATCATGTCAGCTGGTCCCTGATTTCAAGGAACCTCACTGCAATGGGAAAACTAAAGAAACTTCTTTGGCAGACAGCCATGCATTCATTCATTCACTCCTGCAGTGCAGTGCCTGACACATAGTACATGCTTAGTAAGCATTGTTGAATGAATGAACTATTTTCTAATACCTGAGTCTATCTCTTCCTGCTTAAAAAGCCTTCATTAGCTCCCTATTGCCTATAGTATACATTTCTTTTTTCTTAACATGACTACAACTTATCACCTCGTCCCTCAAATACCACTCCAACCTAACATTCCTCCTTATCTCCCCACCACCCCAGCCCGCAACACGCACATCTGCTGCCTACTGTTTCTTGAACCAAACTGCTGCGTGAGCCCCGAGGACTTTGTCCCACTGTCTCTTGGCCCCAGGGCCTTAACCATGCTTCTTGTAGAGAGATGGGGTGCACCTCCCTCCCTCAAGACTCACCTCCAGTATTTGGTCCTCCTCTTAAAATCCATCATGGTGCTCAACTCCACGGCCTTGCTCTTGTGTATGGTCTTACCACAACTTTTACCGTAATGTCATATTTATCTATCCTGACCATACATGGGCTCCTTGAGAGCAGGGACTGAGTCTGATTTAGCCCCATATGCCCAGGGGGCACCAGGGGCCTGGTCCATCATGGGTTCTCAGCACACAGGGGACCAACTAGCCCTGGTATGCCTGGGACAGTCCTCATTTGGGGACTAAAAGTTCCACGTCCCAGAAAATAACACAGTACAAGGCCAACTAGACAGCTGGCCTCCCTCATAGTGAGCAGTGAATGTATGAATGCCCAAGCCTTCATTCATTCATTCATTCCACACGTTAGTACAAACCTGTGAGCTCGGGTCCCCACTCACCCAGCTACAGGGCCTTTCTAAACAACCCAACAGCTTCAAACCTACCCACTACACAGGACTGCAAATGGATGAGATTTGCTGCTGAATGAGCATTAGGTCCATTAGGCACCTTTCCTGTGCCCTTGCTTATCTTCTGAGCTATCTCTTCTGGCCACCAGCCACATTGTTTATAGCCCATCTGTTGACGTCTGCCTTATCTCCTCAGATTTGCCCTGAGTCTCCCTGGGTCTGCTGCCCTCTGCAAGGATGAGCCTACCAGCCTTGCAACCCCACTGCTGAATTCCTATCTGAGGCCTTGTAAGTCAAAAGTGCATGCTGGAGCTCAGTGCACAAAGCTGCCCCCAGCCCAGGCCCTCAGAACAGGAGCAGTTGCAGCCAGGACCCATTTGTCTGCTCAGCCTCCCTCAGCCCCGCGAGCAGCTTGGACCCATCTGTTTCCCAGCTCTAGGTCAGATCAAGCAGCGAAAGGATCAGGCTTCATTTGACCTGAGATGGCTGCAGCATCTGGCTGCTCCCTGCACCCACCTTCTCCCCATCCTGGCCATATGAGCCTAAATCCTCCCTCCACCCGCCTTGGGGGGCCTTCAGGGCCACCATCTCTCCTGGACGGTGCTATCAGAGCTTTGGGGAAGTGCAACCCAATAGAAGCCACAAAGACAGACACATCTGCCTTCAATCCCTGCTCAGCTATTCAGCTGGGCTACAGCAGGTACTTTATTTAACCTCTCTGTGTCACCTCATTTAAACAGAGACATTTATAATGTCTACTTTGTACCATCATTATAAAGATTGTAGGAGATTGACGAGGCACCTAGCTCAGAGTCTGGCATCTAGTAGATGCTCCAAAAGCCACTTCTCTCACCTTCAATGCAAAGGGGAGAAAGAGCCGTTTAAAGCGAGCCCATTAGCACCTTGGAGCAATGCCGTTTCTTCTTGGGATCTCACTCTGCAAACCAAAGAAAGGACAGGTCACTAGGCAGGGGTCACCAAGTTCTGCCCCATCTAAAGCATCTTTCCCCTAGAAGGAGGGTCTGAGTTGCAGAAGCTGTCCCTAACCAAGATGGATAGAAGTTGTTACCTTAAATTAGAACTTTCTGAAACATCTTTCATTAACCAAGGACAAGAAAAATAAATATCAACAAATGGATTTCTTTTTAATCCTTGCCCTAAAAAATTCACAATAGAAAGGTTAAAATTTGCCAAATATTGATCTTAAGGCACGGCATGAAGGCAAATATGAGGCATCTTGATGTTAACATTCGAGGTCAGACTTCAAAGAAGTAATAGTCTAAAAGCCCTTCGCTCCCCATGTAAAAATGATTTCCTTTCATCCAAAAGCAACTCCCTGACTCACGAGGAGACAAAGGCTGTGAGTTGTGCGCATGACCACCCACCCTTTTAAAATACATGTATTTCACCAACGTGCTCCATTCCCACTGCCCACACTGGGCATTCAGATACTCCCTTGCCCACCTTCCCTCTCCCTGTAATCTTAATGCTTCTGCTTGTTTCTTACCTGCTTCTGTGAATATTTTCACTTTTGATTAAATCAATATTAATAGCTTTGCACCCTAGAAGTCAGAACAAGCTTCAAAACTACAGTATTTTTTGAAATATCTAAGATTTTTCCCTCAGTGATAGCCCTAAATTAATTACTTCAGGAAAATCTTTTTGTTAGGACATTGTATGTCCATGTCTAGACTCACATATGTTTAAGAACATGTCTCATGTGAGGTTACATAGGCATAGGGAAGATGCATTGTAAATGGTCAAGATATGGTGCAGCAGACAGAATGCAAGGGGAGGCTCTGGCGACAGCAGAGGATCTCTGTCGCCTCCTCTATTGTTAAAAGGCAGGGTGGAGAAAAACTGGAAATTAACTGGAATATCCATGAAGACAACACTGGAAACATCACTGCACATGCTGTGCTCATCTTTTCCCAATTAGTCTTTTGAAATACTTGCTTTTGTTCCTCACTAATTTCTGGGTAATTGTCCACTTTGGAACTCTTTCAAAGTGGGTAGGTATTTGAGAACCATGATGACCTATGATCTTTGACCCAAGGTGATCTTTACGGGGGGGTCCCATGAAAGATTGATTTGAGCAGAGCTGAGTTAGACAAACAAGGCATTCACATAACTTTAAATCTGGAGGCAAATCAGGTAAAAATGTTAGCAAGCTTTGTGGCCTGGAATTTCCTGTCCCCATAGTCAGGACTTGGGACAATACTTCTCCAGGCCTTTGTAAGTGTGGATGAACAATCTAATGGAGCTTCCTTGGTCCCATCAATGAGTGAGCTGGTGTCTGGACAAATACTTTTTAAAAGGAACTGAAAAGAGTGCTTTTTACATAATTTGAGCAATAATTTTGAATATTTCAATGACTGACAGTTTTTTTTTTTAATCATTCCTCCAAAGAGCTTAAATTTGGGGAAGACTCCTTCTATTAAACCACATTCTTTTGATTAATTATTTTCCTGGCTTTTAGTCATCAAAATGCAGGAAACTGACTATAAGAGCTTCTGACCAGGGTGATGACTGGGAACTGCCACATGGAGAGGACACAGTCACAATACAGGGAAACTGGTCAATGCCATGCACTCTGGTGAGGGGTCCCAAGTCAGGATGTGACTGCAGATAAGCTGAGCAACAGTTTTAAGTGTCCCCAGCTCCCCTTTCTGTAGCTGCCAGGGTGGGAGCCACGAACGCTTGCGCCTCCCGCCCACCAACTCTCAGCCCACCGACCAAGCCATGGCAGCAAGAGGTGGGGCGGGAGGCTTTAGGAGCCGCATGCAAGCTTCCTGTTTGCTTTCCCCAAAGTATATATATTACAAAATGAAGAAGAAAAAACCCTGATAACATTAATGAACATTTTAAAACAGAAAAGCATCAGTAATAACCTTATGGCCACTGTCTTTTTCTTCTACGTTATCTCCAGTCTTTACATATGAACATACTCACCATTTGTGGATTCCTTATTTGGGAACTTGCCTACTTGCTAAAATGTATTTGTAACCCTGACACCAATCCTGAAGTACTTCCACAGTCATTCACAAACATGGATGAAGTGAAAAATCGGTATTTTCGCATGCTTACATGCCCAGCCACGGCTGAACACAGCGATGCTCCGCCTTC